TCTGCGGCAAGCCCTCAAGGTCATCCGCTGTAAAAAGCGATTATAAATATACATTTAAATGGGTTATAATTATGCATACGCGTATGTTTTCCTGCCTAATGCACCACTTTTGTAACCTCTTACCCTTGTTTTCGTGTAATGTTCTTGTCATATCTTCTAATGGGAAATATGGTAAACAAATACTTAACAAGGAAGATGCTCTCAAATCCCAACTGCGATTTTCTGTGACAAGATAAGGAAACTGTTACAGCTTCTTGTGACCTAAACGTGGCCTCACACTGCACCAACTAAACTATAAATTCTTCACTTGAATAACAATTGGAATAAATATAAAAAATGTTGGGCCAATACGTAATATCAGCCACTTTAATAAAAATATGGTCATGGTCAGATGAATCAAAAGTTAATCTTCCGATAGATACTGCATGTTCAGAGTCTGAATACCAGTGTATATACTAACCATTTAAAACTAAGACGCATCCTAACGATCCTTACTATAGATTATGCCCATTTTTAAACAACAAAGGCTACTCTAAATGTTCATCAAATTAAGTTGAAAAATTTGACCGAGTTTACACCACACAATCTACTCTGAGTACAGACAAATCTATGCATCTAGCAAACTTTTAAGGCATGACTGGACCTAGATTTATAAAAGGTATATGTAGTTTATGTTCCAGAAAATTAAAAACTCTGGTTTTTGATGGATTATGTTCCAGTCTGCAGAAGATTGCAAAATAAATAAACAACCAATTTTCATTTGATACGGTCCACTCAGATACACAGTTTAGCCCATCTATTGTCCATTTAAATCAATTCAACTCATAAGATTTATAATATGAGAGGAGCTTCTCAAACGTCTTTTCCAACTTAGTTTATTTTGGCACTTTCTGCGCAGCAGGAATGGGAAAAAATGAATAGCAAAATCAAGTTGAGTTTTTAATATTCCGAAACTTAAAATGCATTTAAATTTTTAATTATATATTTAAGTCCCAACCATGCTCTAAAACTTGTTCATATGTGAACAGGTTTAGGGGGAGGGTTTGTTCTCAGAATGAAATGTGTGGTGTAAAATTTACAGTTTTAATACGGCCATTTTTGCTAAAAGGTTATGATGATCCTTCATGGTCATGGTTGGAATTCTGATGTAAATAGCGATAAATATATGTTTTTAATTTCATGTGTAAAACATTATAATTTGGATATACTTGGACTAGCGGAGACGCATCTCACTGGAGATAAAGTTATTAACGTTGAAGGTTATCAGTGGTTTGGTCTTAATCGTAAACATATTCATGTCCGAGCAAAATCCGGATCGGGTGGTGTTGGAATTTTAATCCGAAATGGTATATGTAATGAATTTGATGTAACAATTGCAGATAATGACACTGAGGGAATTTTATGGATTAAACTTGAGAACAAAACCTGTGCAAATAACGTTCTTTATGTCTGTGTTGTTTATCTTCCTCCCGAAAATTCCACACGTGCAGTTAACGTTGATGAATTCTTTGACAACTTAATGACTAAAGTATACACTGTTCCTCAAGGAAACGCCTTCTATATGTGTGGTGACTGGAATAGCCGATGTTCAGAATTTGCGGATTCAATCACTGGTATTGATAATCTTCCTAACAGACATGTTGTAGACTTTCAGTGTAACAGTTATGGGAAGGTTTTTTGTGAATTTCTTACCGATGTTAGCTGTTGTATTTTAAATGGAAGAAATACCATATTAAATGACTACACCTATGTATCAACCCGCGGTCTGAGTGTTGTGGATTACTGCGTAGTACCGTACGAAATGCTGGATATTTTCAACAATTTTAAAGTTACAAGAACTAGTTTAATTATAGAGCAAATTTGTGCAAATGGTAAATTTGACCTTCAGAAAATTATCCCAGATCACTCTCTACTTACTTGGGAAATAACGTTGAAATTAAGCCAAAGTAATAAAAATGCTGCGCCACCAAAAAACAATCGTAAAACTAAAATCAAATATGATATCAAAAATTTACCAGAAGACTGGCTCAGTTCGGAATCCGCTGTGAATGATATTAATAGCATTATTCAAAATTTGGAAATTTCAAATGTAACGCAAGACAAGATTAACAACATGTATGATGAATTTGTGAAGGTTATTAAAACGGAAATGTCTACAAAATTACCATCTAAAGTGATTGTCTTATCCGACGGTGTAAATAATAAAAGAAGGAGATGTAAGAAACCTTGGTGGAACGAGGAGCTAACTGAATTATGGAACGACGTTTGTGCATCCGAAAAAATATGGATTAAATGTAAAATTCGGAATCAGAAAAAGTTATTTCGTCAAGTATTTATTAATAAAAGGAAATTATTTAATAAAGCGGTCCAAAAGGCAAAACGCCAATATTGGTACTCCGTGCAGGAAGAATTGAGTAATTCGTGTGGAAATCCAAAAGATTTTTGGCGAAAAATTGGAAAAATTGGTGTAGGTAGTGAGCGCCAAAATTATATTCCCATGGAAGTAAAATTAGATAATGGTCAAATTTCTAGTGATAAAGATGAAGTTTTAAATAAATGGAAGTGTGATTTCTCTAATATGTTTAATAGAAATGATGATAGTGATGTAAATATATGTGAAAATGATGTAGATGTTTTATATGATGAAATGTTAGATTGTGAAATATCTGTGGAAGAAGTATTTAATGTTTTGAAATGTTCCAAAAATGGTAAATCACCTGGATATGACGAAATACCAGTTGAATTGTACAAGAACCAAACTATGTTAAATGCACTAACTAGAGTTTTCAATATTTGTTTTGACTCTGGTAAAGTTCCAATAATGTGGTCAAAAGGGATTATAACGCCTATTCCGAAAAGCTCAACATCAGATCCGAGGGATCCCTTGTCGTATCGTGGTATAACTTTGGCACCAGTTTCCTACAAACTGTATTGTGGAGTATTGAACTCACGACTAACATATAAGCTTGATGATATTGACTTCCTATGTGACGAACAAAACGGTTTTAGAAAAGGTCGTAGTACTGTCGACCATTTAAGTACACTGTCTACTATAATAGAAACTAGAAAGCTTCGTAAACAATCAACATATGTGGCATTCATTGACTTCAAAAAAGCTTACGATTGGATAAATAGAAATTTATTATTTTGTAAATTAAAAACAATTGGTATTAGTTCTAAAATGTTGAAGTCACTTTATTCTCTTTATAACAATGTACAGTCTTGTGTTAAAGTAAATGGTAACTTAACAGATTGGTTTGATGTAAATTGTGGTCTAAAACAAGGGTGTATCCTTTCGCCTTTGTTATTTAATATTTATATAAATGATCTTGTTGATGAGGTTAAGAAATTGAATATAGGTATAGACATTGAAAATCATAAAGTTAACATGTTGTTATATGCAGATGATCTTGTTTTTATCACTGAGAGTGAGGGTGATTTACAAAAAATATTAGATGTTTTGAATATATGGTGTTGTACTAATGACCTTACTGTCAATTTAGAAAAATCTAAAATAGTACATTTTAGAACACAGTCTGTATCTAGATCAAATTTTTCATTTTTGTTTAATGGTAACAATATTGATATTGTTTCCCAATACACATATTTAGGTTTATTGTTTACTGAGCATTTAAGCTATGATAATATGGCAAAAGCAGTTGCTAAAGCTGCTAGTAGATCGTTGGGTCTGTTGATATCTAAATGTAAAGCTAACGGTGGTTTTCAATATTGTACATTTACAAAATTATTTGATACACTTGTATGGTCTGTAATAGATTATGGTGCCTCTATATGGGGAACACGTGATTTTTCATGTATAAATAGTATTAAAAATAGAGCCATGCGTTTTTTCATGGGTGTAGGAAAATACACACCTAATATGTCTTTGTATGGTGACATGGGCTGGATGCCGTGCAAAATCAAACAGTGGACTAGTGTTTTTAGAAACTGGACACGATTTAATAAAATGAGTGATAATAGAGTAAATAAAAAAGTGTATATATGGGGTAACACATGTAAAAAAGTAAAAAATTGGCATTTTAGAGTAAAAAATAAGTTTAAAGAACTTGATATGGAATATTTGTGCAATGGTGATATTTTGAACAAGGATTTAATAAAGAATATTGAAAATGTATGTTTTGAAAAATTTAAGGAAGAATGGTATGACAAAATTATTTCAGATGATAAAAATAAATTACGTACATATAGAATGTTTAAAAATGTATATGGTGTAGAAAATTATTTGATTTTTAATATACCAGGTAGATACAGGAGTGCTTTAGCCAAATTTAGATGTGGCGTAGCACCAATCAGAATTGAAACTGGTCGTTATGAAAATATTGATATTGAAAATAGATTATGTTTTAACTGTATTGATGACGTTGAAGATGAAAAACATGTTTTGCTAAACTGTCCTGTATATTCAGATATTCGTAATGTTATTTTTAACCATGCTAGTATTGTTGATGAGAATTTTTTACATATGTCTGATAATGAAAAATTTATATTTCTTTTTACAAATGAAAATATGGTATTTTATACTGCCAAAATCTGCTATGAAATTTTAATAAAGCGAAAATGTATTTTATACTCATGATAGTTGACTTGTATTTGTATTATAATCTAAGAAAAATTGTTTTATAGTCTCTCATAACTCTTTATAGAGTGGCTCTTGTTGTTAACTTGTGTTTTAAAAAGCTGTATATTTTATATGTAACAAGTGGTGAGACTTTAATAAAGTATTTGTCTTGTCTTGTCTTTGTCTGGTTAAAAAACAAATAATTTTGTAGAATATATAAATAATATAAATTATAAAGCATCTCAATCAGTCTTAATTGCCATTATCATGTAATCAAGAATTATCCTATGTAGATATAATCACAGGTAAATCAATCTCTCTTTATATCTATCCACCATAAGGTAAAAATTAACTACCTGTATATCAACAAATATTATATTCACATTATTTGTATTTGTAATTGCGAATTAGCAACTGGTCAATGTCGATGGGGATTTAAAAAGCGATCAATAGTATAATTAACCATAAAAATAGATTGTAGGTATCCGCCATTGGTAAAGTATATTTACATCAATATAAATTTATAAAATGGAGAAAATAAACGCAGAACCAATTGTCAGATCTCTACAAGGCGGCAAAATTTCCTATACTTTGTTTGAAAACAGATCCTCATGTGTAGCGAGTATGTACTGGCATAATTTTGAAGGACAAAAAATAAAATACGCTGATGTTAAACCTAAAGAAACATACAGTATGAAAACATACGAGGAACATCCATGGTCGGCCCAAGACCCAGCGACAGGAAATATCCTTTTGATTGATAACAATTCTGTGTTCTATCCTCGGCACAGTCCAACGACACATGAGAGAGTTTTTATCGATAATCCAACAGACAAAGGTAAGAGAACGACCATTTAATTTCAAGGGGGTATGGTTTTTTCTAAAAAATATTCTGATCCCCAATTTGATGAAAAATATTTTGGTCAAGCAGAAGCATGCAGATGACAAAAAATAATATTCTGAATCCAGTGAAAAATAATTTGACTGATAGAGTCGTAAAATTAAATAAAAATGTTCTGACTCAGAAAAAAAAACCATACCCCCCTTTGAAGTTAAATGGTTGCTCCCTAGAGTTTTATCAATTTTGATCGCAGTTTATACTAGACTGTGGTAGCCTTTTTTAGCATAACAGATCGATAAATATATGTATTGAAGAAATACACAGGAAATGATTGAACCAGAACTACTAAACACAGAAATATCAAAATTCAGTAATCATGCCAACAGATTAGTCCCGTTTAGGCTGAATGTGCTAGTCTTTAGTTATATTATCTACTTATTTTGTATTTGTCACAAACTTAATATTGATAAGTTTATATGGCAATAAATATTTGAAATGAAAAAAAAATTGAATTTTAATGTGTGTGTTTGTTATTTTTTTTATTTGAATGCAATAAAACAACAAATACTCCAAAGTCTTTTGTTAACCTGTTTGTGTAGTATCGTCAATTCTAGAAGATCCGATCATACCTTTAAAGTTTGGGTGTTTTCAATAAAGAGAAAGAAATTAGCATTGAGTACGATACAAAGAAACAGATCAGTTTCCATCTTGCTAAAGAGTATACTATGTATAATGTTTTAGTTTAAAAAGAAAAGGGGGAAAAAAAGGATACATATTATATGTACTATGACCGTTTAGAAGTAAGCTCTTAAGAATTTGATGCTTCTTTTTGTAATTTTTTATATAAAAATAAGAATTAAATCAGACGGATCGTAAGGACAAAGAACAGCTGCTGAAAAATCACACATATTTATAATAATACATGTTATAATATATTTAGTAACAAAAGAAACGCACCATCTCTACTAAATCTACTTCTTTAGAGAAAAAAGAATCTGTTGCAAATAACCATAAACAAATTGATTAAAATGAACTATGTTTTTGATGTCATAGACACAAAATTCTGTGAAAGTTCGATTTTTTTCTATAAAAGTTTAATTTTTGTCATCTAATAGAAAATACATTTTTAACCTAAAAGAAAACATATTTACAAATTTGTGAAAACTGAAGTGAGTTTTTTTCCTTGAAAACAACGAATCAGACATCGACTTTCTAGTTTCTTAATCGAACTCTTATAGAATGATCAATTTGAAATTGACTTAACTCTGACTTTTGATTTTTTTATTTTCCATTGTCGCCACTAAAATCAAAATTTCGCTGTGAACTCTGCATTGATTTCAAGGTTATACTTACATTTATAATGTACTATATTTCCACAAATTTGTAGAAAAACAAGAAATTGTAAAACTACCATATATGGTAAGATGAGGTGCGTTATTTAGACTGTTAAGTTGAGTAAAGTAAATATTGCACTGGTAGATTTTGATCCACGTGTAATGTTTTTCTATCGCGATGATATAGCCTTTTTGTGCTGCTGGGCGCAAACCACCATCAATCGATCATTGACTGAAATACAACCCATGTGCTTAGAACTGACTAATTGAGAAAAAACGTATGACACGAGGGTCTAGATTGGGGGGTCCTTCATTTTTGTTTTCTTTAATTTTTAAGCCATTCTTCTGTATTCTTTGTACTTTTTTCTCATTATTCTCTTTTTTTATAATTTTTTGGTGCATTTTTCTCAATCTATTCATTACATTTTTATCCCATTATTCTCTATTCTGTAAACCCCAATTCACACCCTCTCACAAGACAGCCTGTATTTAGTGGTTGTCGTTTGTTGATGTGTTACGTATTTGTTTTTCGTTTATTTTTTGTACATTACATTAGGCCGTTAGTTTTATCATTTGAATTGTTTTACATTTGTCATTTCGGGGCCTTTTATAGCTGACTATGCGGTATGGGATTTGCTCAGTTTTGAAGGCCGTACGGTGACCCATAGTTTTTAATTTCTGTGTCATTTTGGTCTCTTGTGGAGATTTGTCTCATTGGCAATCATACCACATCTTCTTTTTTATATGTAAGAAATGTAATGTCTATAAATATTGTATTTTTATGTAGAAAAAGATACAGATCTAGAAGACAACAATAAAGGAATCGAGTCATTTGGAGAAGCAAAAGGTAAAATGTATTGATTTTTTCCGTTATACTTCCATCTAGTTATGGCATTCGTTAGCTGTCTTTTCTGTGTTTTTGATGTCAAGGAGTCATGCTCCTCGACTGTATTCATTTATTAAGACACAAACAATGTATTTGAAATTTGCCTTCATAAATCATCGAAATTCATTTAAAATTAAAGAATATATCTCCCTCATGCTCCCTACCATCTCTGGTTCCTAGTCTAAGGATTGTCAGTACGTTTTACCATTTTCCGTTATGTCCGCTCTTCAAGGTTTTGTTTTATGCTTTGTGTTGTTTTCTTAAAATATATTGGGCGCGAGCGTCAATGAAGGGACATTAATTGTCAAAATGCGCATCTGTTACAATTAAAAAATAGTAGCTATAGCGTTAATCCTACTTAAGAGGAAAGTGGTGTTTCGCTTTTAATTATGTAAACTGAAATACATGTACTTAACATCAACAAAACTGTTTTGTCATCCTAATTTACCGAGGCATATGTGCAAGGTAAGCGAATGTGGTTATTATCCAATCAGGTCCACACATTTAAAGCAGAATATTTTTATTAAAAATTGTTTTTATCATTTTAAGACGAAATATGTGTTATTGTTTGTTGTTTGAAATCTAGTAGCAAATATTACAGTCATACTTAAGACGAGAACAAGATTTAGGGTTTTGATTAAATGATGGAAAGCACGCCTACATGTCGGAAGGTTAAGAAAAATTGATATTATGGACTTTGGAAAGCCCAAATACATGTCCTGTCATATACACGGTCGCGTCACCTAATTGATTCTTGATATCAATTTGTCATAGAATTCTGTGATCGGGGTTCAACAGTAGAAGCTTGCCCTGTTGACGCATCTAGGGTCACTCCGGTCAAAGTTCACGTGATAGACATTGTTACAATGTCATGTTTATTTGCTTAAAACATAACATATGATGTGATTTTTTGTTGTGTCAGGATACTACTTAAAAATCTGGGAGCAATAATTTAACTTCAAAGGGGGGTTATATGGATTTTTGTCTGAGTCAGAAAATTTTTGAATAAGCACGAACATGTTTTATTTAGTTTTTCGATGCTATCAATCAAATTAAATTTTCAATTTTGGACCCCATACAAAATGGATACATGTGATAGATACAAAATGTATATACACGTATAAACTTATTTATATGCTAGGAATTTTTCGGTCCTCATGTGTGGCAGTCCTAATAAAATTGAGAATGGAAATGGGGAATATGTCAAAGAGACGACAACCCGACCAAGAGCAGACAACAACCGAAGTCCACCAATGGGTCTTCAACGCAGCGAGAAAATCCCGCACCCGGAGGTGGTCCTCAGCTGGCCCCTCAACAAAATTGTGTACTAGTTCAGTCACACTAATCTCCAAAACATATAAATGAACTAAAATTAAAAAACATACAAGACTAACAAACGCCAGAGGCTCCTGACTTGGGACAGGCGCAAAAATGCGGCGGGGTTAAACATGTTTTGTGAGATCTCAATCCTCCCCCTATACCTCTAGCCAATGTAGAACAAAGAAACACATAGCAATACGTACAGTAAAACTCAATTTAAAGAAGTCTGAGTCAGATGTCAGAATAGGTAACAAAAGAAACTAAGCAATATGACAATGATACATACATTAACAAAGGACTACTAGCAGTTACTGACATGCCAGCTTCAGACCTAATTTAACTGATTGAAAGATTATGTCTTCATCATATGAAAATCAAGTACTATCCCTCTAGTTAGGGGTTTAGTATCATACCATCATAAAATATATGAGAAGAACATAGTACCCTTTACTCATACATTAATTTTATATCTTGATTTTTTTCAGGTTGTCCAGCATGGGTTCGAAGGAAACTAACAAACTGATTACAGAACTTTGTGATATCATGCTATTTGCATGGAAACGTCAAGCACAGAATCTTTCTCTCTCGAAGTAAACGTTTAATACTCAAGTCTGACAGTCAGAGGTGTTTACGTGTTGCCTCGAACTACTGGAGGAAAACTGAGATTTGCATTTACATTTTCGTTTTTTTTTTATCAAATATATACGTGATGTTCCTATCTTTTGAAAAACAAGAATCTCATGCTTTTATCGTATCGTATGTGGCAATATTTTATGTTATTATTATTTCGTTTAAGAAAAATACAATAAAAAATTCTTCTCAGGAAACGTTGTTTATTTTTTTACGGTAAAGAAGCCCCAATAATGCAGTCTAAAATCACTACGCATGTAGAAATTACAGTCAACAGGAGGCAGACTTGTTTTATTATTATGTTAACATACCATCGATCCCAACCATTGTTAATTAATGCAAAGCTTATTTTTAAGAATGTTTTCTGTACCCTTTTAATTACCAAATTTTACCAGAAGACCGGAGCCTTGTATTTGGAAAGCACAAGATGTAAATATTCATTGGAAGTTGTAAAAAGGAAAGGATACATGTTGTATCAAAAATCGCCAATGTTGAATTAAAACAAATTTTCTGTCATTTGGGAACGACCATTTAACTTCAAAAGGGGGGGGGGAATAATTGATAGCGTTGAAAAACCAAATAAAAATGTTCGCGCAAAGATGACTCAGACACAAAACCATAAACAAAGTGTTTGACGGATAAGTTTTTAAATTTCTTATCATGCTAATACAAGCAGTCAAATTTTTCTTAAAGCGCCATAGTCATCAATTTTTTAATTATGTGATCGTTTCCATGCAAGTGTTATTTCTTTGGATACAAGCCCCTGTCCGATTTGACTCAATTGATCTAAGCCAAGTAGACATTATAGTTTTACATATCTCAAAAAAATATTTATCAACGCTTGATCTTCAGCGAAAGATAGAACATGAATATTGTCGTCATGAATAATATGTCTACGCCAATGATCGAGTCTACAACCCAACGACAAAAAGAAAAACAACAACAAAAAATCTTTTATGGGTGTACTTAGGGAATATTAAAAAAAATCAATAATTTAAAACTTATACTATAAGTTGGAAGAGCATCAGTTAAGGAATAAAATAAGCTAAAAACATTGATAGGTTATGGAGCTCCTTTTCGAGATATTTGATTTTTATAAAGTGGTGGGAAAAGGCTAACTCGGACTTTTACCTTTCATTGCATTGGTATTATTTGGAAACTGCTTAAATTTTGGTAAATGACTTTTTATGAGCCATTAATTCTTATATGAAAAGATAAATGGGTGTTATGGGGCAAAATATTTTACCTTGTATTGTAGGGGGAAAACCAAGGGCCGAGTTCACTTGAAACTCTAGAGTTAACTTTACTAACTCGGGTTTCAACAATCCGAGTTTACTCGAACCTCTCGAGTTAACCCCTTTTACCCCGATCCCAACCCTCACTGAGCCAGGGTTAAACTCGAGAAACCCTTGAATGACGTCAAACCAATCAGATTTTTTTCTTTTTTTTATGCTTAGTCAGGGCCTTACCCTAGAGTTACTTAGAGTTGTTCCGAATAGCAACTCGGAGTGCGTTCACGTGATACTCTTGAAACTCTTGTCATCTAATAGAAAATACATTTTTAACCTAAAAGAAAACATATTTACAAATTTGTGAAAACTGAAGTGAGTTTTTTTCCTTGAAAACAACGAATCAGACATCGACTTTCTAGTTTCTTAATCGAACTCTTATAGAATGATCAATTTGAAATTGACTTAACTCTGACTTTTGATTTTTTTATTTTCCATTGTCGCCACTAAAATCAAAATTTCGCTGTGAACTCTGCATTGATTTCAAGGTTATACTTACATTTATAATGTACTATATTTCCACAAATTTGTAGAAAAACAAGAAATTGTAAAACTACCATATATGGTAAGATGAGGTGCGTTATTTAGACTGTTAAGTTGAGTAAAGTAAATATTGCACTGGTAGATTTTGATCCACGTGTAATGTTTTTCTATCGCGATGATATAGCCTTTTTGTGCTGCTGGGCGCAAACCACCATCAATCGATCATTGACTGAAATACAACCCATGTGCTTAGAACTGACTAATTGAGAAAAAACGTATGACACGAGGGTCTAGATTGGGGGGTCCTTCATTTTTGTTTTCTTTAATTTTTAAGCCATTCTTCTGTATTCTTTGTACTTTTTTCTCATTATTCTCTTTTTTTATAATTTTTTGGTGCATTTTTCTCAATCTATTCATTACATTTTTATCCCATTATTCTCTATTCTGTAAACCCCAATTCACACCCTCTCACAAGACAGCCTGTATTTAGTGGTTGTCGTTTGTTGATGTGTTACGTATTTGTTTTTCGTTTATTTTTTGTACATTACATTAGGCCGTTAGTTTTATCATTTGAATTGTTTTACATTTGTCATTTCGGGGCCTTTTATAGCTGACTATGCGGTATGGGATTTGCTCAGTTTTGAAGGCCGTACGGTGACCCATAGTTTTTAATTTCTGTGTCATTTTGGTCTCTTGTGGAGATTTGTCTCATTGGCAATCATACCACATCTTCTTTTTTATATGTAAGAAATGTAATGTCTATAAATATTGTATTTTTATGTAGAAAAAGATACAGATCTAGAAGACAACAATAAAGGAATCGAGTCATTTGGAGAAGCAAAAGGTAAAATGTATTGATTTTTTCCGTTATACTTCCATCTAGTTATGGCATTTGTTAGCTGTCTTTTCTGTGTTTTTGATGTCAAGGAGTCATGCTCCTCGACTGTATTCATTTATTAAGACACAAACAATGTATTTGAAATTTGCCTTCATAAATCATCGAAATTCATTTAAAATTAAAGAATATATCTCCCTCATGCTCCCTACCATCTCTGGTTCCTAGTCTAAGGATTGTCAGTACGTTTTACCATTTTCCGTTATGTCCGCTCTTCAAGGTTTTGTTTTATGCTTTGTGTTGTTTTCTTAAAATATATTGGGCGCGAGCGTCAATGAAGGGACATTAATTGTCAAAATGCGCATCTGTTACAATTAAAAAATAGTAGCTATAGCGTTAATCCTACTTAAGAGGAAAGTGGTGTTTCGCTTTTAATTATGTAAACTGAAATACATGTACTTAACATCAACAAAACTGTTTTGTCATCCTAATTTACCGAGGCATATGTGCAAGGTAAGCGAATGTGGTTATTATCCAATCAGGTCCACACATTTAAAGCAGAATATTTTTATTAAAAATTGTTTTTATCATTTTAAGACGAAATATGTGTTATTGTTTGTTGTTTGAAATCTAGTAGCAAATATTACAGTCATACTTAAGACGAGAACAAGATTTAGGGTTTTGATTAAATGATGGAAAGCACGCCTACATGTCGGAAGGTTAAGAAAAATTGATATTATGGACTTTGGAAAGCCCAAATACATGTCCTGTCATATACACGGTCGCGTCACCTAATTGATTCTTGATATCAATTTGTCATAGAATTCTGTGATCGGGGTTCAACAGTAGAAGCTTGCCCTGTTGACGCATCTAGGGTCACTCCGGTCAAAGTTCACGTGATAGACATTGTTACAATGTCATGTTTATTTGCTTAAAACATAACATATGATGTGTCAGGATACTACTTAAAAATCTGGGAGCAATAATTTAACTTCAAAGGGGGGTTATATGGATTTTTGTCTGAGTCAGAAAATTTTTGAATAAGCACGAACATGTTTTATTTAGTTTTTCGATGCTATCAATCAAATTAAATTTTCAATTTTGGACCCCATACAAAATGGATACATGTGATAGATACAAAATGTATATACACGTATAAACTTATTTATATGCTAGGAATTTTTCGGTCCTCATGTGTGGCAGTCCTAATAAAATTGAGAATGGAAATGGGGAATATGTCAAAGAGACGACAACCCGACCAAGAGCAGACAACAACCGAAGTCCACCAATGGGTCTTCAACGCAGCGAGAAAATCCCGCACCCGGAGGTGGTCCTCAGCTGGCCCCTCAACAAAATTGTGTACTAGTTCAGTCACACTAATCTCCAAAACATATAAATGAACTAAAATTAAAAAACATACAAGACTAACAAACGCCAGAGGCTCCTGACTTGGGACAGGCGCAAAAATGCGGCGGGGTTAAACATGTTTTGTGAGATCTCAATCCTCCCCCTATACCTCTAGCCAATGTAGAACAAAGAAACACATAGCAATACGTACAGTAAAACTCAATTTAAAGAAGTCTGAGTCAGATGTCAGAATAGGTAACAAAAGAAACTAAGCAATATGACAATGATACATACATTAACAAAGGACTACTAGCAGTTACTGACATGCCAGCTTCAGACCTAATTTAACTGATTGAAAGATTATGTCTTCATCATATGAAAATCAAGTACTATCCCTCTAGTTAGGGGTTTAGTATCATACCATCATAAAATATATGAGAAGAACATAGTACCCTTTACTCATACATTAATTTTATATCTTGATTTTTTTCAGGTTGTCCAGCATGGGTTCGAAGGAAACTAACAAACTGATTACAGAACTTTGTGATATCATGCTATTTGCATGGAAACGTCAAGCACAGAATCTTTCTCTCTCGAAGTAAACGTTTAATACTCAAGTCTGACAGTCAGAGGTGTTTACGTGTTGCCTCGAACTACTGGAGGAAAACTGAGATTTGCATTTACATTTTCGTTTTTTTTTTATCAAATATATACGTGATGTTCCTATCTTTTGAAAAACAAGAATCTCATGCTTTTATCGTATCGTATGTGGCAATATTTTATGTTATTATTATTTCGTTTAAGAAAAATACAATAAAAAATTCTTCTCAGGAAACGTTGTTTATTTTTTTACGGTAAAGAAGCCCCAATAATGCAGTCTAAAATCACTACGCATGTAGAAATTACAGTCAACAGGAGGCAGACTTGTTTTATTATTATGTTAACATACCATCGATCCCAACCATTGTTAATTAATGCAAAGCTTATTTTTAAGAATGTTTTCTGTACCCTTTTAATTACCAAATTTTACCAGAAGACCGGAGCCTTGTATTTGGAAAGCACAAGATGTAAATATTCATTGGAAGTTGTAAAAAGGAAAGGATACATGTTGTATCAAAAATCGCCAATGTTGAATTAAAACAAATTTTCTGTCATTTGGGAACGACCATTTAACTTCAAAAGGGGGGGGGGGAATAATTGATAGCGTTGAAAAACCAAATAAAAATGTTCGCGCAAAGATGACTCAGACACAAAACCATAAACAAAGTGTTTGACGGATAAGTTTTTAAATTTCTTATCATGCTAATACAAGCAGTCAAATTTTTCTTAAAGCGCCATAGTCATCAATTTTTTAATTATGTGATCGTTTCCATGCAAGTGTTATTTCTTTGGATACAAGCCCCTGTCCGATTTGACTCAATTGATCTAAGCCAAGTAGACATTATAGTTTTACATATCTCAAAAAAATATTTATCAACGCTTGATCTTCAGCGAAAGATAGAACATGAATATTGTCGTCATGAATAATATGTCTACGCCAATGATCGAGTCTACAACCCAACGACAAAAAGAAAAACAACAACAAAAAATCTTTTATGGGTGTACTTAGGGAATATTAAAAAAAATCAATAATTTAAAACTTATACTATAAGTTGGAAGAGCATCAGTTAAGGAATAAAATAAGCTAAAAACATTGATAGGTTATGGAGCTCCTTTTCGAGATATTTGATTTTTATAAAGTGGTGGGAAAAGGCTAACTCGGACTTTTACCTTTCATTGCATTGGTATTATTTGGAAACTGCTTAAATTTTGGTAAATGACTTTTTATGAGCCATTAATTCTTATATGAAAAGATAAATGGGTGTTATGGGGCAAAATATTTTACCTTGTATTGTAGGGGGAAAACCAAGGGCCGAGTTCACTTGAAACTCTAGAGTTAACTTTACTAACTCGGGTTTCAACAATCCGAGTTTACTCGAACCTCTCGAGTTAACCCCTTTTACCCCGATCCCAACCCTCACTGAGCCAGGGTTAAACTCGAGAAACCCTTGAATGACGTCAAACCAATCAGATTTTTTTCTTTTTTTTATGCTTAGTCAGGGCCTTACCCTAGAGTTACTTAGAGTTGTTCCGAATAGCAACTCGGAGTGCGTTCACGTGATACTCTTGAAACTCTATAGTGGACTTTAGAGTTTCAAGTGAACTCGGCCAAGGAGTCCGAACATCTGACACAAATTCCTAAACCTCACCTATTAAGTACATCCTTAAAACAGCAACATAAAGTGTTCAACAATTCATAGACTTCTACAACATGTCAAGCTTTTAATCGTTCTTAATATTTCAAAAGTAAGAATAAAGCAAACAGCAACCTTCAAATTTATTCCATCAACACAAAATTCTAAGACCGTAGATAAAGAAGCTCCTGATATATATAATGCAAATCTAATTATAGAATGGCAAAGCCAAAAAAAAAAACAAACAAACAAAAACAAAAACAAAAAGAAACGTATTATAATTGCTTCAGACTATAAACTTATATAAAAAAAAATTAAATGAAAATATTAGACGCCTGTGATTGAACAACAATAGTATGAAAATGTTTTTGTCGAGCCTGCGAAAGCGATACATAGCGATCCTGTTTTCCGTCTTCGTTGGCGTCAATATTTAGGTTCAGTCTGTGGTTAACGTTTTTTAAGACATCAATAACTTTTTCAAACCTCCGAGGAATGTTATGGCAATTTAGACAGAAGCTTGATTATAACGATATAACGAAAATACAATATCAAGAGCAAAGTTTGAAAATGTTTGTTTTTTGTTTTGTTTTGTTTTGTTTTTTTTTGTTTGTTTTTTTTTTTTTTTTTTTCATTTTCCGTAAATGTCTGATAAATGGACTTTAAGTTAGTTTTTTTACAGTTAATATTTAGATACAGATGAAGATAAAAGTTTTCTCAGTAAACGTTGTCATGAACGTTTTCGGATATTAGTACAGCTTATGTCTGTACATGATATCATTTGTTTGTCCTTTTTGCTACAACAGCAAATCAATGATTCACTTTGAAAGTAATGCCAAAGGGTGTACTAGTTAATTCGGCGACTCTTTTCGCTTTTCAAATCAATAATCATTATACCAGTCTTTCCATATGAATATCCAGTTCACACAGCTATTGTATTGTCGTCTATGCATACTTAATCAAAAACACTATAGAGACGTGAACATTCGATGGTACATTCAGTCTTAGCATTTGAGTTAACTACCACCAGTTTATCTCCATGGTTACTGTAATCCGTAAAAAAGAAATCCACATTTTTCCGTCACACTACACCTCTCGGTTAAACACATGCAGTTTTTAATTTCCGCTTAAAATTTAATTTTATATTGTTTCCTCTGGAATCTAATTTCTTTACATTAGTTAGAAAATCCTGTATCTTCACATGGATAGAACAATCAAAGACGACTTTTTTTACATTCATATTTTGAACTATAGACTGAATGCAGTTTTCGTTTTTTGTAATAGTGTTCTGGATATCTCTCATACCAAGGAATGCTTGTAAATAGGAAGCATATTTCATAAAATTTTATGAAGGTTTGACAAACTAATTTATGTATTACAAACTTTAACATCGGACCGTATCTCCATATCAACTGCAAACAAAACCCAACCTTTTATAAGTAAATATGATCTGGATAATCTTTTTTTATCATAAAAATGGTTCTTCGGCTGTTGTCTGCTCTATGGTCGGATTGTTGTGTCTTTGACACATTCCCCATTTCCATTCTCAATTTTATTCTGTAATATTTTCGTAGTATTCCATGAAGGTTTTGTCACCATATTCATACATTGCAATTAATAAAGACAAGATTGTCTATACCACGACTGGGAAGGATCAAGAAATTTGTTGATATAATAGAGAATAAGTTTGGGAGATCAAAAATAAAATTGTTTTAAAAAAGACAGGGAGAATAACTGTTGACGAGAAAGGGAATGTTTTCGTCGTCGGGATAGATTCTAACAATATACTTGTGATTTCTTCTGATGGCGAAATGTAAAAACAGATACAAACCAAGAAATGTGGTCTCACTAAACTAAGCACGATATTTTTTTACAAAATAAGGAAACAATTGTTAGTCTCAAACAATGAGAGTTTCGTAGATTTTCATGACATTTCCTATTTTTAAATCTAGTTTTCTGTCTTATGCTTTTTTAGAACGAATTATATGCCAGCTTTAAAGGAGTTTACATATTTTTAGCTCACCTGGCTTTTCTTATCACTTGACGTCCGTCGTCCGTCGTTGTCGTCGTCCGTCAACTGTTAAAAAAAATTTCTCATCTGAAACCACTGTGCAAAGTTTAACCAAACTTAGCCACAGTCATCATTGGGATATCTGGTTTTAAAAATGTGTCTGATGACCCCGCCTTCCAACTAAGATGGCCGACATGACAAAAAATAGAAGATAAGGGTAAAATGCAAGTTTTGCTTATTATTTTCAAAACAGCTATAGATAGAATTATTCTGACTGTAGCAAAAATGTTTAAAATGTTTAGCTCTTAATATTGTATATTAATGTCAAAACTGTCAGACGACTTTTTATAGTTATTATCCTTAAATGACGAATTTTACCATTTTAATTTTTTTTCTCCTATTATCTCATATTATAATAGATACACAGAAGCTTTAAATAGCAAAAATAAGTGACATAGCTAAAATCGTCGGACGACTCCATATTAGAGTTATTGCCCTTTAATGAAGATGTTTACCAAATTTTGGCGTTTTGTTTAATATCTTAAAAGCTATAATAGATAGAAATTTTAAGACGAAAATGATTAGCAAGATAAGATCTTCAAATATGTCAAACATGACAAAATTCTAAGTCTACTCCTTATTGAAGTTATTGCCCTTTGGTGACGTTTTTTTTTCACATTTGTGCCTATTATCTTGAAACTGTAATAGATAGATGGAAACTTTGTATGGCACAAATGATGAGAGGAGACTTTTTATTTTTTTTTACAATAACTCAATAATGCTTTGAACAGTTTTCATGAAACTTTGGTAAGTGGTTTATATCTTTTAAAATGTGCCCCTTTAGTTTTTTTATAGGAATAGTCCCGTTAAGACCCCTTTTTGGCCCCAAAATATAGCATTTTTACGTTTTGTTTAAAATGTAAACTTTTCTTCTATTCATTGGAAAGTAGAAAACTTTTGTTACATAAATATGGGCAGTTTTGACAATATAATGTACATGCATCAGGTACTAGCATCAGTAATTCATATGAAATTACTAAAATCTTCACAATTTGAGCATTTGTGCTTATTTTTAGACGGTTATTGTCTAAAATTGAAGTGGCCGCACTTGTGTTCAGTCTTAATATTTGAATGCATGTCGTATTTAATTATAAAACATCATATATATGAAGGTTGAGACTTAACACGAATGCGACCAATTACATTTTTTTGAAGTCTCTCTTCTCTTATCCGTGTTCTGATTCATTTATCTAATCATTACCCCAAAATGCGAAAAACCATTTTATTGTGGTTTATGTCGAAGCTACGATTGGGAAACGATATTTGCGTCTAACTGCGGTCTGTTTTGTTCACAATATCTGTATACCTGTGCTTAATTTGAATATGATTTGAAACTAATTTGTTAGCTTTGATCAAAGATGTTTGATAATACTGAATCTGATATGGCGAAGTTGAGAAGATTGAAATATCGATATGATTTGATAGCTATTTCTTGAATTGCACCTAATATTGGTTACTTAATAATTCGTTGATCATATGGGATGATCATTAAAAAGATACAGATTTGACCATGTCTATGGTTTTTTTTAAATA